GTGAGAACTGGGTAAGCGAGGAAACTCTATTAATGAGAGTATTTGCCAAGTCCCGTCATTTTGCCCTTCTAAAACCTCTATAAGTGAGAAACATAAAACCTGTATAAGTGACAGTCATTTTTCATGCGTGAACCTCTTTAAGTGAGATTGCTACTTGTCTATACCTCTATAAGCGACAGTTTACATTTGCTATTTTATGACTCGTTCTTGAATTTCAAGAGACTCTTATTTCATTCGAATGACCAAATCTGCGAATGACCGAGTAAGTCTTTATTATTTTATTATAGCCAAATGTGCGTACCGACTTGTTTATCAATCTTATTACAGTCAGTTCATAAAAGCAGTTGCGAAGAAAGGTCTTGTACTTCCTCATAATGTCTAAACGAAAACTCAATGTGTTGTCGAACCGCATTTTTATAGAGCTCTATAAGTGAGACGCAGTCCTCCTGTAACTCTGTAAGCTAGAAACTCGGGTTAGTGAGAAACCTCTACAAGAGAGAAACAGATCGCGGTCCCTTGAGCTCTCACTTATCCAGGTTCAACTTTATTTGAAACAACAAGAAGAAAATCAAATGCAGCATCTTATTCCTTTAATTTTGGTTTGAAATAATATTGTTACAAAATAAAAGTACATTGTTCAGCAATCTGTTTTATTACTCCTGGTTACAAATGTAAACACCGGAAAAGTGTCTTTATGTATTTTACGGTTATTTTCAATTTTAAGTTGATGAATTAGTCAAGCAGGTATGAATTTTACATAGCACTTTCAACAGATGTTTTCTCTCTTGTAGCATATAACAATTTAGACTCATTCTATCAATAAAATGTAAAAAATTTGCAACTTTCTCATACATTTCGGGGAGGAGGGTGTTAGAATCCCAAAAACCCTCCCTTGCGTTCGCGCCTGCTTTTGATTACATTGAACAAAACTCATAAGGAAAATTTACTTACAATTATTTCCAAAAAATTGTATTATACAAGTTGCCAATAGTAAAATAAATCACTTTACCTTTCAGTAGCAGTTCGTTTCTTTTCTCCTATATACTTCACACCATGAACTGTTGAATTCTCGCTGTATTCGTAAATATACTGGATCACATTTCTGAAGAAACTTGGATATTTCTTTCTGGGTTTAATGGGGTCCACGGGAAATTTTCCATCTTGGTTATCGGATGGATTAACCATTTCCCTTTTTTGTTAATAAAATTCGTAAGTTTAAAACCAGTACTTGTTACGGGTATCAACCTATTTCAACGAATTTCGTTTAATATCTGAGCAAAATGTTTGAGTAACTGATGTTTTTAATATTAATTTGGCTAATAAAATTGTTAAAGCACGCAATGTGGCAGGTTAATAAAAATTAATTTTTTTCATGACAGACTTTGCCAATAGTGAAAGATAAGTCGGATCGTTATATAAAAACACAGGGTCCCTGAATACACACCCTCTCCCTGAAGGATTGACAAAATTAAATATCCATCTTCTAATTGAATTTTCAACGAAATTTATACAAAAACACCCCCTGTTCAATATATTACAGTAGTTGATTTATTTACTGCATGCTAACTTAATTAACAAATTACGCCAATAATGTTTACATTAAAACTAAGTAAAAGTAATATCTGCAAAATTTTTGCGGACTGTTCTATTCGATGTTACATCCCACCAAACAGGTCCAAATTCCAGATTAATTTTAAGTCAACACTAAAACTTCTCCGGTAGTCGATAGTACTGATCCGACGGGACTTGAACCTTGACGAAACTCTTGTACAAACTAGAGCGGGTGGATCGGCTTGCGAGTTTCGATGATTTAGGGAGTCGTACCGTAGGTTCAACCATGATGGGAGGGTTCTTAAAGAGAAGCCAGACTAAGACAAGTCCCTGAAAGAGGGCAGCAGCCCTTTCAGTACACAGGGTGGCAGATATCACAAGGATCGGCATGGCACTCTGATGCACAATACTACTATGTGGAAGGCAAAGGAAAAACACCACATTATGGTATCACAAGTAAAATTCACGGATGGTTTCCTCTGGAAAAAAGCACCCCGGACGTAAACTAGTCCCACATTCGGATGTCTGGGCGGGGACTAACTGGGGGGATGTTATCAATAAGTGCAATAGTAGTACAATATTTCAAGAGTCAGAGCGTGGAATGTTAGGACAATGAGGCAAGTAAGGAAATTGGAAAATTTAAAAGTACAAATGAATAGATTAGAATTAGATAAAGTAGGTATTAGTGAAGTCCGTTGGCCCGAAGTTGGAGACTTCTGGAGTGGAGACTTTAGAATAATACATACAGGATCGGTGGAAGGTAATTCGGGGGTAGGAATTACAGTGTTAGTGCAGGTCTACATGCCTACATCATCTTACAGTGATGAAGACATAAAAATGGTATATGCAGGTATAGAAGACGTGTTACCTTTAGCAAATGGGCAGGAAAACCTACTAGTTGCAGGAGACTTCAACTCAGTAATAGGTAAAGGTAAAGTGGATGCAATAGCAGGTTCTTTTGGATTAGGCAATAAAAATGATAGATAGGAGAGTTGGCTGATAGAATTTTGCGATCATAACCTAGTAGTTATGAAAACCAATCTTAAATAGAAAATGCTGAAAAAGAGGGAAGGTAGGAGACGTCTTGACTTAGAAAAGCTAAAATGTAGCGAAACGCGGGATAGGCTAGATATAAGGACAGACGAAATACTAAAGGACGCGGGAGAAACGAATGAGAGGGACATTGAGGAAGAATGGAACTGCATTAAAACGTGCTAAAGTCAGCAACTACAGATGTATTAGGTTTTAAACAAAAGGAAAGTAGGAAACCCTGAATAACAAACGGGATTGTAGGATTAATACAAGAGAGGCGGAAATACAAAACCAGGACAGACGAAGAAGGGCAAAAAACGATATAAGGCGATAAAGTGGGAAATAATTGTTTGCCGTGTTTCCACGAGCAGTATTTTCTCAGAATGTTTTTGGATAAATGACGAAAGTGAATAAAATTCCAATGTAAAACAAAACTATGTACACACTTTATTTACAACACTTAAACATATTCAGAACATGAAGACAATGTAAAAACGGAAGACAAAATTAGCGACAAAAAATAGATCTGGTTAAGCTGAAAGACAAAACTTAACCTTTTGAACTGAACTCAACTACTACTAAAATGGAATAAAATCAAACCTATAATATTACCACCACCAGTACCTGCGAGAACAAAGCTATAGAAAAGTATAGGAAAAGACCCAAAAATACATAGACAACATTACAGCGTAGTGCAATTAAATAAGGGTAGCTGACCGACGAAGCCTTCGTAGAATTTGTCTATTGGGACCAAATGTTTTGAGAGGCCCCAACAGGGTGATATTTGTAATAATGTACATTTATACACTATAGCAGCCAATGCAGTAACTTATATAAATATTAAAAATTACACCATGCTTAATATTGCATATTTATCCCTAATCCTAATAAATACAATTGAAATTACACTGTAACAATAATTAGAAAGTGTAGATCAGTAAAGAAACAGTGGATTGATATAAGGTGTAAAGAAGTAGAAGAAAAGTTTCAAGTAGGTATACGGATGGGACTTATAATTAAAAGGAATTTTAGAGAAGTAGGGTACAGTAGTAATAATATAAGGAACGAGATAGGGGTCATTTCGATAGAAAATGAGGAATAGGCAGAACTTGCTCAGAATGCCCAATGGAAAAGAGGGGCCTGGACACTAGAACCCTGTGGACTTTAGCTGTGTTTAAGCTTCGTCCATAAATTGACCATAATGTTTAGGTCAACAGCATTGCAAAGGTCTTTTTCACTTTTATCATCGTTAGAGCAACATGTCTTTTTTCTTTAATGATGGACCTGGTCGAAATTTTAACTATTTTAAGCTAAGCTATTTCATATTTAGCAGCTAACTTTATGATGCCTTGCATAGATGCACATGTGTGTATCTAGTAATCTGTAACTGTATAAGAAGCTGTTAGAACTTGGGCATGTGGTCAGGTGGATACAGCAGAATCAATTTTTCAATATTTTCCTTTGTAATATCCTTTTTGTCTAAAAGTATTGTAAGAATGTTTGATATTGAATTTAAACGTTCTACAACCATTTTGAGTTTATCTCGTAAAAAGTATACATAGATAAGTATTTCCTAATTAATAACACAAGTTGAAGAATTCAACTCAGCAGATATTGGAGGGGGGGGGTGGAAGTCTAAAAAGGACGAGAGATTAAAAACATATAAAAACCATCTCTACGTTTCAAGGTAACTGCAGAATATTTCAACAGCTATTACATTCGTGCTAATATTTCGAAAAGTATTGGAGGATAAAGTTCGAGGGGACATCTGCAATATAAATCCGGCCTTGGCCTTAAAATATTACTGTGAATTCTTCCTTTGGTTAATACTGCATACGTAATTTGGCTCCTCCTGGAACCATCGCCAGCGGGTTTATCACGCACTCTCTATGGTAGTCACCGCCCAACTGTTTAATATTTTATTTTTTTGGTGAGTTTCTTCACTGAGACATACCTACGTCCAAGTAAAGAAATAAACAACTTATTAGGTTTGTGATGATATTTCACTACATGACATTTCCTAATTGAATGAATACATTTTGAACTATTCATTCCGTAACCTTTGATTAGGGTTGGTAACGTTAAAAAAAAGTGTGCGAGTTTGATTACCTCTAGTGATTGTATCCAGTCATCAAAATATAAAACGCCCGGTTCAATCCAATCTATTCGATTCTTATTTCAAACATGAATCTCTGATTTCAGATGTGCACAAAAGAGTTGTTACCCATGTAATTTATCAAGAAATGAGTCTTATGGATTAGGTTCCAGGCTAATCTAACCGCTTCGAATAGGTAGATGTAGCTTTTGATACAATCAGACTTAGTATTTGAAGAGCTCGTAAATCTATGGGTTTATCTAGATGCACCAGCTGAAGAGGACCCTAGTTGGTCCTAGAACGGCCTGAGGTAGAGGGGTTTTAGTCGGTAGATTTCTTTCTCGAGAATCCGACACTACCCAGTCGTACGGACGGCTGGGTGTCTTTTGAAGATTTCCCCTCTTCCAAGAAAACATAAAAAAAAAAATCTAGATGCACCGAGCGACATGGTTTAGAGGTTTAGTCCATTGCTGAGCATTCGGGAGGATGCCGGTTCGATTCCGGGTCCGTCTGCCTTGGTCCATGTTTTTCTGTGGTTTCCTTGGATCACCTAGGGCAGTAATATTCCACAGATAATCTTTCATTCTCTTCTGTCTTTATTTCATCCGACTCATTTTTCTCACCCGAACCACCACCCACCATTCCCATAATTCCTGAAACGATGATGAAGAGAAGGTCCTTCCGGCGTAGTCCGGAGGGACTGTGCGCCTATCAGCATTAGTGGCTAGTGGGAATGAAACACTAAAAATTCTTTTAAGTTTTTTTTTTCTGGATACAATCGACGGAAATCTACAGATTTTTCATCGTCTCCCTACGGATTTTCAGCAAACTGACCTAGCAACACTACCTCGCGTCTTTCAAAAGGTGTCAACAAAATTTTAGTGAATCTTCTTTACGCACGGTAGGGTAAGTTCGTTTCATGCGAGTTGCTATGTAACGAAATCATGCAACGCATTTCCCCCGCTATCTGTCCCTATGTATGCTTAGATCTTTAAAACTACGCTACGGATTTTAATGCGGTTTTTTTTTAATAGATAGAGTAATTCAAGAGGAAGGTGTATATGTATAATACATGCATAATATAGTAGAGAAACACTGATAATTTTAGAGGTTTGTAATGTGATGTCGTAAATAAACACATTTTTTTGCGCTTACATTGCAAACGCTTGCTGAACCCTAGGAGATAGATCAAAATAATGTACTACAGTATTGTACACCTTAAAAAGATCTACAAAAAAGTCCGGGATGGCATGTCTATCTCTTAGGGATAACCCACAATAACCATTTTCTATCCTTTACTTTTACGAGAAATAATGGCTTATTTGCTAAGCGATTTTAAGCAATACAGCATTAATTCTTATCCAATTAAGTACTTTTAAATACATTGTGCATTTAATATAGATCAATATGGCCCTTTACAGCATGTAATTTAAATGAATATTTTCGAAGATATTACAGACTTAAAATGCAGGGACATAGCGGTTGCGGCGGTACCGGCCGGTTTGTATTGTCTAATGACAAAAAAGCTGTGATTGTTGTATATAAAGACATTCTATAGTAAGTATATTTACTATCAGCACTGCACCCGTGCGAAGCATAGTGTACAAATAATACCATTAAACCAATTCCTTAACCCCTATCCCGGTATGTTTGTGTGTTTGATGAAGTCTAATTGTGTTCAATTATTCAACCATTCGGCGGCATTCTGTTGCAAGAGCCTTTCCCTCAAAAAAAAGGATGAGGTATAAATAAAGACATTCTATAGTATATTTACTATCAGCACTGCACCGGTGCGAAGTATAGTGTACACATAATACCATTAAACCAATTCCTTAACCCCTATCCCGTTATGTTTGTGTGTTTGAAAAAGTTTCACTTCAGTAGCGTGTTGTATAATTACACGTTGTTTTTTTTTGCTTAAAATGTTTTTTCGCATTTGACTTTTTGGCGTACCTTGCTACCTGGCACCTAGAGCAATTGCTCTTCTGGGTCGACGCTGGAACTATCATACTTGTGCCTCCCCTACAGTCCCAAGCTAAAAAAAAGGTTGTTTCCAAGTTTTCGAAGTCGTTCCATTAACTAGAAGGTAAGCGTCTTACGTATGTAATCGACATAAATACTTACATGACTTTATTTAAAACGTTTATTACGTCCAAATAGATAAATAATGAAACATTGTAATGAAAAATGAAAAAGAGATACAGCTACAGGTGAGACTTTTATTTTCTTTAAACTACTTTAATTTCTGTTAAGGGGTCGTTATTAAATTACGTTCGCAAATTAGGGGAAGCGAGGCGTATTCCTTAGCGTAACGAAATAGGACAAGGATGGAGGGGGTGTGCGGAAATGTGACGTTTGTAGTTCAACAATTTTAGCTTAACGTTTTTCTTATCTTATCAATTTTTAAAATTTTTATTACGACTGTAAGTAATCATCATTGCTGTTTTTAATCATAAGAAATCGTATATAGGGTAGTGGGGCTGAACCAGTTCTTGTGACGTAATATGTGCCAGGGAGTCGTTAAAAGTGTGAATTAGCGTGACGAAGGGGGAGAGAGTGGTCTAAAAAAATGAAATTCTGAGTGACGTATTTTATAGATGACCCCAAATATAAATGGTATCTACTTTTAATAGACTCTACGTAAAACAGCCACCTACAATAATTATGAGTTGGAAATACACAGTAAAACTCGTTATCCGTAATAAGTAAGATAAGATAATAACACCATAAAGCGAAAACGTCGCTGTGAGTATACATATCTTAAATAAAGCATTTTTCACCCCTACAATTGCTTGAATATGAAGGTGTATTCTTTTTTTCTAGTCGATTTTGTATATTGTATATATAAGTTCTGTTTGAAAAATTTTTCCATTAAACTTATCGTTAGATCAAAACGAGTATTTACGTACTTTCTGAACCACCCTATATATATTCTTGAACAAGTCAAAGAAAATAATCGCAACGTAACATAATGAATTGTATCTAAACATTAAGCATTCAAAAAAACGAACTTTGTTTTCCTTACAGTGCATTAAAGCGAAATTACCGTTACTTAAGCAAGTCAATTAAGCAATTACCGAATCCGATTTTCGATTTTTTCGTAGATTAACGACGAGATCCTCAACATTGTCCGTTTATGATTGTAATAAATTTCCGGTATGTTGTGAGGTAAGCGTATGTAAGAAAAATATAACTGAACACAATATTTAGGAAATACAAATACTTGATAATTTATCAAATAAATAAGTTCCAAATACCCATCTTGAGCAAGGCATTAAAAGTTATTTTAGAACAGTAAAAATTAAAGTTTTGGATTTCTTTCCCTTTACCTTTAATAAATACTAAAATTCTATATCTTGAAGCAGTTTTGTAAATACGTACACCAGAGATTTGATTTATTTGATATACTTGCATTTAAAATGCAAATATAAAATAAAAAATACCTATTTTTATCTTGCATTTTAACTCTTTTTTGAGAAATTATTTTACTTAAAATATTTTCATCATTTCATTTCATAAATGCCTTCTAGTTCTTTAACTAAGACAGCCCAAATAATTCTAAACTAGTTGGAAATGGATAATCTAAAATATATTGTCCGATATTGTTTTGTGAGTTCACTGCCATGGTCCATGGAATTTTGAAGTTCCAAATTGATACCAGCACCTGCCAATTCACCACTTACGACAAAACAGCCCGCAAAACAATATCGAATTGATATACGCCAGCTGTGTAAAACTAAAAACTACGGTGGTGTGCTAATAAATGTCTAAAATCCAAAATTCTTTAAAAACGATTCAGAAAACTTTACTTATTAGATGAACCCAAACCTAAAGAAACTNTCTAATTTTTATTGTTTTTTGGTTGAAACTGAGAAATACGGCCGGATACAAATACACTCTAATAACATTAATTGTACTAATGCAATTTAAGCCTTGTCTTGAGGACAAATCGATTGAAAATAACAAAAGCAAGATACTTCTAAACAGAAGTCGACAGCAAGTTTTTGAATATTTTGAAGATAAATATAACTAACAGTAAATAATATAGCAAATATAATTTGTTAACTGCCGCCATGAAAACCTAGATAGTAACATCTAAATATGATTTATTTGAAATACATGCATTTAAAATGCAAATACAAAATAAAAAATATCTTTTTTCCAATTAAAACGGGTGACAAAGGCAAATAAGAAAGGATATAGAAGAATTATTTGTTGCCGAACTGAAGAAACTACAACATAAATATAGAAAAACTACACCTCAATAACTTCAAAGAGATAAATATGAATCATACTCAATCGTCGCAGCTGGTGATATAGTCTACTATTTTGTATTTTACATTTCAAATAACAAATCAAAAAAGTATTTGCATTTGTATTTAGATACTATTAAAAAAATTTTTGCACATCTCTGATGAGTATACCCGTATGATACCACAACTGTTTCGCTTTGCAAGGCCTTCAGATGCATTGAAATTTGAATTTAAATTTAAGAAACCTAAATTTACTGACATTTCTATTTTTACTAAACTATTACACGAACTAACAGCAAATACGGAAATATGAGAATATTGGTCAGTAGCTTTAAAAATAAAAATCTAATCAAAAAATTACTCGAATAAATAAATAGGACTTATCATAGTACTGAAATTGTTATCATAATGAATAATAATAATTTAGTATCATTAGGAATATTATTGTTTTATATGTAAGAAGTATTTTAATATTTTTCTTGTTTGTAGAGACGCCTATTGGTATGGTTCTGTACAATAATGCCTATTAGTAATAACCGCTACAGTTTTCTTTTCATGTAAGCAAGCTGCTTAACTTTAAATTTAATTTTTTATTATTTTTCCATAAATTACATATAGTTTTTGCAAGACAATAATTATACACCATATTTATATTCGTTTAAACGAGTTTCGTATTGAAAATGAATTTTCTGGATTAAAAGCAGAATCGCTTGTTTCTTCCATTAACTAACAGATGGCGATATGAACAAGTTTGGATAAAAACTTTTACCATTATTTTCAAACCGTTAAAGCGTAAATTAAACGAAGAGTTTTATGTTTCATTTTATTATTAGTTTCGAATTACTAATATATAAATATCAAACTAATGGTTCTATTGAAGAATATATTTTTATTCATAATAGCAGTACAGCAGCGCAACTTTGAAAATAATATGGTAACTTACACTCCACTGTACCGGAAAACGATTTTTTTTTACTTTTTAATGGAAATACATACCAGCTAACTTCATAACGTGTTTGTCATGCCCTGAATCTTGATTTTGAAATTTTATTATTACTATACTTGTTTCATAAACTTGTAATAAATAATTATTAAATATCTATCGGGGTATTTTTCTTTTACTTTTATCAGTTTATTATTTATTTACTTATTTAGGTTTATCATTTTTTGATCATCTTTATAAACGACGTGACTTCTAGGAAGTACCTTATCACACAAATCCTGTGTAAATAAAAGATCAAGTTATGTTTTAAATAAACAATTTATTATTGTCATTGAACATGATGGAGTATAAACTTCATATCACAGAATTCTTATAAATACAATTTACAATATAATCGACCTAATTTTTTTCGATCATCCAACAAAGCATCACACTTTTCACATTCATCACACTAATCTTATTTCAATTTTTTTTACAAATTGCAGTTTTAAAATCACAGGTTCATTATTATTGGCTTTAATCATTAGAACAAATGTTCTGGTACGAATTAAAGCTTTTTTCTACATAAAGAGATCAATATCTACTCTAAAAAACGCATAATACATCAATGGAGACGATTGCAATATTGTACTTACGCTAAATAATACTTAAAACCACTTTACGTAATGATTCTAACAGAAGTCGAAACTTTTGTATTTTGCGTTTTAAAGAGTCCAATAACCGTGTATCTACTTAACTTACTTATTACATAAAGCAATTGAGCAAAACACTTATACTTAAAAATTAATATAGAAAGACATTGTGAGAATGTTTTCATCATTTACTTTACAATTAAAATAAGGCACTTTTCGCGCAATGGAAGACGGTGATTAGTTTCTTACAGGAAACACTCATTGCAAAATTTACCATGGTCTCCAAACCTCTTCTTGTTTTTGAGCCACTTTCAGTAATCCCGTAATTGTACAATCAACAGGTTGATTTGGCGACGGAGCATGACGGGAAGATGTAGACGACGCTGGCGTCAATGGCATAGCGTAACTAATCACCGGCGTCGCTGCGGATCCACTTCCTTCTGGTACTGGACTTCCTGGAGGAGTATATGGTGAACCAACCTGGATAACCAATGGAGAAACTTTGTCCATTTCGTTCAAACGGTGGCCCAAGTGTGTCATTAACTTCGTACCAAGTTGAATATCGACTCCAGGAATGGAAGCGAGGCACCTGGACACTTCGTTAGCACAATGGGTGAATCCAGCACGGAAGCGGTCAGCATCTATTACTGGATTGGCGGCGAGACGTTGCTGGCGTCGCAATTTATGAAGATGACGAACGGTAAGTTCCAGGATATCAGCCTTTTCCAATTTGGAAACATTTTCTCCTTCACTCTGGAGAGCGGACACCATTAACTCTTTGAGCTCGTCTAAGCAGCGATTTATCCTTGCCCGACGTTTCCTTTCCAACATCGGTTTCATTACTTTCCGGTACTGATAAGTACGGGAAATTGGTTGGGGTTCTTCGACAGCGAGCATTTTTGTAAATATCACTAACAGGAAAACACTTGATGAATTGAACAACAATCAACAAGTAAGAGAAGCACTTGTTTTTATTAAATATTACACAATACGTGTTACGCTTACGACAGAGCGAAAAGTTAAGGACGACGATCAGTTCAGCACGAGAACGACAACAGAATTAACGCGTACCGCGTTTCTGCTGCGTATTTATAGGAGATTGGTGCGACGTGCGCGCGCGTTTGCAGTCGCCGCACTCTTGATATCGTGGGAAATGCAGAAGCTCGCTCGTTCCCACACTTTGGCCACCTGTGCCGCACGGCGAGCTCGTGCAGCTGCTCTCGCTAATGCCGTGCCGGCCGTCGTCGCCGTTCTATTCTCTCACTCTGACACGATAGTTCTCCGTCTAGCGCGCGCGAGCCTGTCTAGGCGCCAGATTAGCGGAGGCGGTTCGGCAACGGCAACGAGTAAAAGTTGCAGCGAGTAAAGCGCGCACACGCACAGCGGGGTCGCAAATACGACGCGTGCTATATTCCATGTATAGAAATTGTTTCACACGAATTCCTATACAAATACATACACAATTGTGATGGTATTGTGGATCAGGCTTGGCCAAAACGTTAAATTGCGCGACCCACAGGGCGATTTTTTATCTATATTGAAACTTTTGTTTCTTGTTAGCGAATTATCTTCTGAATATCATCATTTGATATATTTGACCAATGTTAGATGCCTAAATCGTGAAAAATGCGTTTTTGGGTTCCATACGTCAAAAGGAAAAAACAAGAATCCTTATTTGTCTGTTTCTCCGTCAAGACCATTTTTTTTAAGAACGCGTGGAGGTATCAAGATGAAATTAATATCAAATACTCAGATCTGCGATCACATAGAACTAACTATGAAAAAAGTCAATGCAATCAATAGATACGGTTGTTTATGGCGAATATTTTGATACTCGCGTACGTCCTTACGTTGGTCTAGAATCATGGAATTTAGCAAGAACCAATGTACCGTGTGAATAAATGAGAGCATAGCCTTTTGCTTCCTATGTTTTGAGCAAATCCTCTAATATGTATGAATAACGATTAGAGAAAATGCTTTTACTCATTACTCATTAGAACACATGCTTCTGAGTAGGACGTTGCTTCAAATAAATTTGTTCTGGTCAGGAGCAAGCTCACTGCCGAATATGGCGCAATTAGTAAACTAACGTCGGAAAAGTCAGTGGTTAAACCAGTATTTTCTTGGAGAAAATGAAGAGAGAAGAGGTGGGTGGCACTCTTACACCCAAGCAATCTATGCAAATTTTTTTTCGGTACATTGCAGATTCAGGACTTCAGTCTGGTATTGCCGAAGAAACAAATGTTCATCAGACTACAGTAAGCAGAACAGTGAAATAGATAGCACCTAAAATACTACACTAAGCTCTTTCGTGGGTGGTTTTCTTTCACCGTCCAAAAAAATATAGAGGCTAAAACTCAGTGGTCCTACGAGCATTAAGGTTCTGGACTGCACGCACGTGAGAACTCCCAAACCAACGCAACATGGCGACGAATATATAAATAGGAAGGGCTATTCTAGTGCAAACGTGCAAGTTTCTTGTGATTTATCTAAAATGTTTACAAGTATTAATGCAAGCTGGCCTGGCTTCGTCCATTATTCTAGAATATGGAAAAATTCTGTAGTGAACAACAGGTCAACAAAGAAACTGTTGTTGTTTTGGCTAATGGAGGTTATGGAAAAGAACATCGGCTGATGACCTTCCAATGGTATGGAAAGAAGCTATTGAAATCGGAAAGAGTTACTATTGAACGTTGTTTCGGCCAGCATATGAGACGATTTCCTGTTTTGCAGTACGTATGCAGAGCACATAGCCAAGCACCTTAAAGATGAAGATTTCCCCGAAAAAGCAGCAGTGGAAAATGACGATTATTATGAAGGAAAAGAATTAAATGGAAAAAGGTTTTGCTTCGAGGGTTTGCTTTAAAGTAAAAGATTTAACTTGATTCGAATCTATTTATAAAAAGAAGCATTTGCTCGAAAACTGAAGGATTTACTTATAACAAAACGAATCCAGGATCACAACGACTTTTCTCGTTCTTTTCAACTTTCCAGTAGCTACCCAAGCATCAAACAGCTAGTAACGTAAAAATTTATGTATTTGTAGGACTGTTTTTATGTGTCAAAATTTATCTGAAAGGGCTTGTATATACAGGGTGTCCCAGTTATAATAATTAAAAAAAAACCATGACTTCCTGACACAAAATACAACAAAAAAGTGTTATACAACTTTTCAATTCAGCGACAATTGAGCTCACAAATTAACTTTGTAAATTTGAACGTACAATTTGTTTCATTACGGGCCTGGATCTAAGCGACTAACGTCGCTAAGCTGATCTAGTGTGGATGTAACAAGTACTTATTGGGAAGAAGCCGAATGCACTTCAACCTTGTAAAAAAAAGGTAAAAGTGAAAAAGAAAAGCGTACCTTTCATAAAAAATGTTGAAATTCGCTTCAATGCAACACTGGCAGCGGCGTACCCAGTTGCTGCGAATTTTGGCCCAGGTACCGGGAATATTTCGAATTATACGATAGGCATTGGTAATGTAACTCACCACCAACTGACTGTTAAATAAGAACCCTACTAGAATGCACTATCACACTACTAATTGTCCTTATTGTAATAGTCTATCATGAAATGACCACTAAATAAATAAAGTAACACTAACAAACAAGTAAATTCCACAACAATCCAAAGCGAACTGAACAACCTGTTAGAAACTACAACATTATGTGATTTATTCCAGTCACTTCCAGTAGTGTAATTATAGGAGGTTATATCAATATTTAGCTTTTTACATTTAATGAAAACAAAATAACCAACTTGGTCCTTCTGGACACATCCTTGTATTACCCCACGTGGGGTTAATGAGCCCTGCCAGGCAAAACTAACGTTTAACACATGTGAATGGTCAAAGTAGGTCTGCATCTTGTCTCAACTTTTACAACCATAACACATACATTTGTTTTCGTACACTAGTACGTTATGTTACAAACCTTTACCAAACGCTGGGTGGTGAGGGTTGTTTGTGCACCGCTTCTAACTATTCCGTAGTTGTTAAAATTTCTTTTCTATTTAAAATAACATAATACTCGACGTCATGGGCTACATTAGGTCCACTTCAGTTTACGATCATGGGATTTTCGATTGTGATAGGTACGTAGTTTTTCTAACATGTTTCAGTCATCTAATGGACCTTAACGCGAGTGCATTTTCTTCGGCTGATCCGTAACTTAATACCAAACATAAACAATAACATTACCCCAAAAAGCAGCTGATTCCGACCTAGTGAAGGTGAATTTTTCTACGATCAGCTGGCAATCATAATTAATTTGCGATTGTGCAGGGCCGGCATCAAAACTGTTATAATTTTATAACTTTTTATTTTGTTTCAAAAGTCAAAAGTGAACATTTTATGTTCCAAATGCCCGTAGGAATCTGTGGTATAAATATTAATTATTATAACTGGGACACCCTACGTACAAGAAAATACTACAAACTAAGACAAACACCACGAGAATCAGATTATGAAACGTTATTTAGACTTGAGAGAACGTTGTGTAGTTGACGAACCACTTTCTTGGAGAGTATCCCAAAACACGTGTGCAAGAAATGAAAATATTTCTGCTATACTGTGCAAACCCTGGATTCCAGAGCGGAATTGCAGCTCACAATGTTTTGAATATTTCATGAGGTGCTTGAACGAATTTTACAAGGATTCAACAGGCCTGCGCATGGATCCGGTTCCCAAACACAGAAAATTAAATCATGCAGGCCAAAGAGAAGTGGTTGACCAGGTTCAATTTCCCAACAGCTATTGGGGTTGTTAATTGCACGAACATTCGTATTGAAAAGCCAGCCCAATTTTGGAGACGAATATGCAAATCGAAAAGGTTTTAGCAGTATTTAGTATAAATGCAAGTTGACCTGGATCAGTTCATGATTCTCGAATGTGGAAGAATTAGGCAGTGTGTGAAGCCATGAAAATGACAGGAAACACTATTTTGAAGTATGGATGCAGTATTCCAAAAGTTACACAACACAGCTAAGCAACGAGAAGCAACTTTTCAGGAAGATGAAGAAGAAGAAGAACAGGACTTGCGACATATAGAGGACGAAAATGTAGATGCTATTCGCGTAGAAGGGCGAGGGCGACGAGAAGAATTGGCTCATCTTATTACCAATAACAATATAGGTCTATGATACGTTTAAAAGTTTTTATTTGAAGCTATCTTGTTTACAAATAACCCACCAAGATGCAGTTTCTGAAAATATAAATAAGCTTACACGTTTGAATTCGCAAGAAATCGTTTTCGTTTCTTTGTATTCCCTGAAATAAATTTGTTAAAAAATAGCTTTGTTGGATGTCTCGTCCAATGTTTGTAGCTGGAAATGAGCAACTGAAAGTTGCTCAACTAAAATTAATCCTTGAAACTGGGCAGTCGTTAACTGTTTCGTTTTTGGATGCATTTGGTTCCACATCTTTGTGAAGCATTTTTTTACGATGAAATTTACAATGCGTTCATTCACCGATGCCAATTTAGAAAACGAGATTCTTTCCTATCTTAAGCTAATCTTCGCATTTTCCCAAAACTAGAACAACTCACATCCTATTTACGAACAGTAATTTCATCACGGTCTACCTCTACTCCTCTTAACTCCCGTTTTTGCCTCTAATATGTCTCTGACTAAACCTTCGTGCCTGAGAAGGTGTCCTACCAATCCATCTCGCCTATTTCTTACTGGCTTTCATAGAGTCCTCTGTTCTCCTATTCGTTCTAATACCTCTTCATTTCTAACCTTCTTTATCCACGGTATCCTCGTCATTCGCCTGTAACACTACATGTCGAACGCTACTAACCTTTTTTTCCCGCTGTGCCCTTCGCCCATGTTTCGCACGCGTACAGCACTGGGCTTCAAACATACACCTTTAACAATCTTCTTCGAATTTCTAAATTAACCGTTCGTGAGCATAGAAGTGACTTATTTTTATTGAAGCCGACTTGACCCTTCGACACCTTTTGCTTTATATCCCTACTGCTGCTTCTGTTCTGATTTATCTGACTTCCTAAATAGCGAAAATCAGCCACTTCTTCTAATTCCTCGGTTCCTACCATTATATTCGCCCTTTCCCTATTTTTTCTTCCCTTGCATACCAGTATTTTTGTTTTACTTTTATTTATTTTCATACAATACTGTTTCATCAGTACCGCTTCCATTTCTTTAAGCTATCTCTAACTTCTCCTTGCTAGATGCTAATACTGCTATATCATCTGCAAATCTAAGCATACTAATCTTTTACCCCTGTATATTTATCCCTAGAGTTGTTCCGTCATTAATTATATTGATCGCGTCTTCGATGTATAGATTAAAAAGTAGCGGTGACAGTGTGCATCCTCATCTGACTTCCCTCCTAATATTTACTTCTCTACATTGCAGCCCCAGCTCTATAACTGCCTGTTGCTCTTTATACAAACTAAGTATCACTCGTCTATCTCTGTAACTCATCCCTACATTTTTGAGTATATTTAACATCTTGTCCTATTTAACATTGTCAAAAACCTTTTCTAAATCTACAAATCCTATGTACGCCCTCTTTCCTTCTTCTATCGTTATCTCTATTGTTATCCGCAAAGCTAGAATGGTCTCCCGCGTTTCTCTGTTACTTCTAAACCTAAATTGATCTTCCCCTAATAATTCTTCCGACCTTTTTTCCATCCTAGTCTGTACAATTCTAGTTAATATTTTTGACGCATGGGATGTTAAGCTAATTGTTCAATTAATTAATTAATTTTTACATTTTTAATAATTCAAATCCAAGTATGTATTCAAAATAATATTAGCATTCGCTACCTCACTCAATACTCTAGGTAGAAAATTGGACTAGTAACTACATTAACTACTATTCATTGAGTAAATTCAAAAGCATTATTGACCTCTGAATCCTCTAACAACCAGTTTATTACACAATTAATATGCGAAATTACTTTGTTGTTCAAAATATAATTTTTAATAACCGATTTTGAGCTTTGTACCTATGAATCTTTAAAATTCTTATTTGGGTTTTGTTTTGTTGTTTCAAAACCGTTATGAATGTGCGACGTTTTACAACTTCTACTACAATGTTTTCCAAAAATTAACTAATGCGACGTCATTTCCTGTTATTGTTATCTTAATAGGCACCTACATATGTATGTGTACATATAGAAACTTAATAAGTGTTTATGATCACTTACATTGTATGTAAGTATATCCACTGATAATCAAATTGAGATAAAGCAGAAAGTGCACTGAATAACTTACTTTTTGAATTTTCAAAGGCGTAATAAATACATGCATGCTTATTACATATGCACCTAGCTAATATCCATGACTACAGCATAGCAAATGAATGTCCCGGTTATTATTAAGAAGACTACTCAAATTATACTATAAACTTCTGCACTATTCCTTACATCTGATGTAACGTATCAAAATTCCTAATCCAAACGCCTAAAAAATCAGATTACAAATTACTGTTTACTCACCATCAGTGTATTACAGGCACGTTCAGGAAGATTTATGGTGGATTATCGTACTTTGCATGATGAATTGTTGTTTTATCAATATAGGGGCGTGAGTCCTGAAACTGGTTGAACACGCGCCTCTACTCTTCTATTTACTGAGCTACAATCTTCACATTTCCCTAAAAGTGAAACTGAAAAACTCACATCCATAATAATAACTGTTTGTGAACAGTGTGTGTGAACAGTTTGTTCTTATGTCTGGATAAAACAAGGTTGAAACACAGAGACAAACTAATTCGTTTTTTGATATTTCTTAAAGTATTTTGTACTATTTTGTGTGCTAAAAGGTCAATTTATGCATTGGAGGAAGGGCAAGTTCTCGAGTTTTCAAAACTCACAACTATCGGGACTATTTTCTTTAAAAGTCATGACAAACTCGGATGTATGACAGAAAATGTCAGCATTTAAGACAATTATTATGTCGGTAAATAGACAAATTTGGTGCTTAGAAGAATTGTTAAAGAAAAATGTGTTAAAGCTTTTCTAATAATAAGCCCTTTTGCTGAAATAAAATATGAATTTATTAATTCAACGTAACAAGTTAAAGTATATTTGGTAAAGGTCTAGATGATGGCCCCCACCCCCGAGGGGGTGAGGATGGGGGATCGAAAGAGGAGCCCCCCCCCCCACCACCACTGCACCATAGAAAGTTCGTGGCGGTCTCACCCCCTTAAAAAGTTATAGGGGTTGAAAGTTAATATGTCAATTTTTATACATTTCTAGGCATGTAAATATTTATATAGTCATTCTTAAACAATATTCAAAGGTAAAACTAATGGAAAAATGCATAAAAATATTGAGAAAGTTATATAAAACATTATTTAAATATCTTTATCAATAGTGTAGGTTAGGTTAGGTTATCGGGTTTTGTTCAAGTGACCACCCTCTTTCGATCCCCCACCTCCACCCGCTTGAAAATATTTTTTTTATTGAATTTTATTTGAATTATAGTGTATGAAAACTGTCAAAATAATCAACTTTCAACCCCCATAACTTTTTATGTGGGTGAGATCGCCGCAAAATTTTTATGGGGTTTTACTCAGATGACCACCCTCATTCGATCCCCCCTGCCCCCACCCCATCTAACCCCCATAACTTTTTATGGGGGTGTGACCGTCACGAACTTTCTATGGTACAGTAGTGGGGAAGACCTCCTTTTTAGACTCCCCTTTCAGGGGTGGGGGCCATCATCTAGACCTTTACCGTACATTTAAACAGGAACAAGAATAGAGTGAAGTGCTTGGGAGGTGCAAACCGTTTTGTATGAATTCGCAAGTCTCGTGAACTGACCATTAAGGAAAACGTTCTAGAAAAAATTCCTAATCAGTCGGCCGGATATTGTTTTATACACAAATAGTAAACAAAACATGTGTTTTATCTTAACTATGCCTTTCGTTCCAACAGTATGTATCAGATTAAATGAGCAAGACCAAGACTGGGACAGTCTTGTTTTGCCCATCACTACCGAGAATTTGCACCTGCTTTGAAGTACTTACCTATTTTCTTTTTTGAAGTATTTATTTGCTACAGTAATAAATATAGTTGTTCGAATGAACAAATAATTATGACTGTAATCACAAGCTTATATTCTTATAATTTTCTTTTCAGCATGTGACAGATACCTGTCATCCGCTCTAAAAGTGCCTACTTCAGATAAATATGCTCTATAGCTTTATTAACGTAAACAAAGTACTTAATTAAATTTACTGCTTATATTACAAAATTTACACATTCGCAAACATGGAAAAATGTTAATTAGGTTATTTAATATTGCTATGCATTAATAACTATTATCATTTATAAATATTTATGGTTTTGATATTTCCAATAACGTTTAGCATTTATGGAAATCTAGGAACTATTTCTGAAAAACAGAGTTGAAGATAACTAAAAAGAAATGCTTGAAAACAAAAATATAATGATTTATTCGACCTTCCCAATTTATAATTAATAATATACATCTGTATTGATATGAAATTCCTACAATAAAATAGCAAATACACATAAGGTTTTGGACCTTTCTGATTTCGGAAAAACACTTAATTTCAGTCTTCTTTTTTGGCTTTTCTTGAAAACCCTTGAATTTTCTAATTTTCTCTCTGAATTCTTGTCTTCTCTCCACATCCTCTCCAACAATTTTCATTTCTTCCATGTCTCTTCTGACCTCCTTGATCCATGCCATCTGTGTCTTGGGATTTCTGTCGAAATAGTTGAATATTCTCTTCGTCAGCTTTTCTTCATCCATTCTCTTAATGTGCCCGTAGAACGTCACTCTTCTTCTCCTCATTGTGTCTGTTATTCGTTCTATTTTTGCATAGATCTATTTGTTGCTTCTCAGTATTTATACTATTATTATTTACATGGTTTTTTGTTTCATTTCATATTATTAGTGGCGAATTTAACAGGTTTCAAAAGGGACATTACCGACTTCAGATCCTCTCAGCAGGGCCCCGTTTAGCCGTTTAGCAGGTAGTTTAAATGCGAAATCATTTCCACGTTGTTTTACTGCCTTGACCATTAAATAAACTTGATTTTGAACCATGCGGCAGGGAATTGTGCTGGTTCTCCAATGAAAGTATTCTTTGAGACAGTTTTACCTTTTTACAAATGTTTCTTGCAATCACATTGACGGTGGGACGAAATTTTAGAGGAAAGCCAAAAATCCACCACGAAGCTCAAGCGAATTTAACATTCATCTCTTTAGAGACTTGAAAATAATAATATTTAAATCAATCATTAAATNTTGGCTTTTCTTGAAAACCCTTGAATTTACTAATTTTCTCTCTGAATTCTTGTTTTCTCTCCACATCCTCTCTAAAAATTTTCATTTCTTTCATGTTTCTTCTGACTTCTTTGATCCATGCCATCTGTATCTTGGGATTTCTGTCGAAATAGTTGAATATTCTCTTCGTCAGCTTTTCTTCATCCATTCTCTTAATGTGCCCGTAGAACGTCACTCTTCTTCTCCTCATTGTGTCTGTTATTCGTTCTATTTTTGCATAGATCTATTTGTTGCTTCTCAGTATTTATACTATTATTATTTACATGGTTTTTTGTTTCATTTCATATTATTAGTGGCGAATTTAACAGGTTTCAAAAGGGACATTACCGACTTCAGATCCTCTCAGCAGGGCCCCGTTTAGCCGTTTAGCAGGTAGTTTAAATGCGAAATCATTTCCACGTTGTTTTACTGCCTTGACCATTAAATAAACTTGATTTTGAACCATGCGGCAGGGAATTGTGCTGGTTCTCCAATGAAAGTATTCTTTGAGACAGTTTTACCTTTTTACAAATGTTTCTTGCAATCACATTGACGGTGGGACGAAATTTTAGAGGAAAGCCAAAAATCCACCACGAAGCTCAAGCGAATTTAACATTCATCTCTTTAGAGACTTGAAAATAATAATATTTAAATCAATCATTAAATTTAGAAAGGATGTAGATATTAGATTAATTAATTACAGATTTTGTAATTTTATCTTGGGCACTGTTTTCGCGTAAAATGAAATAGAATGTCAAATTACAATAATTAAGCATTTGAAAAAATATGAAGTATTTTTTTTCTCAAACTCTTTTTTATAGTTAGGTCGTTATCTGAGGCAAGTAAGGAGCGGGACCAGCGACATAGCACAAAACGAAATCTTTGTGTCATCATCATAAGGTCGCCTGTCCTAAGACTGGTTGGAGACGCACCACCACTCTTTCCTATCCTGAGCTAATACTCGCATTTCCCTAAAACTAGAACAACCCATATCCTTAACTATTTGCGAATAGTAATTTAATCTAGTTCTACCTCTACCCCTTTTAAGCTCTCCATCTTGATACTAGATTCACTGGGATTCAAGAACTGGGTTAGGATCCGAATCTTTGAAATGATCCATAGCCCGTGACCCGACTTTCCAAAAAGATCCGAATTTCTCATCACTGGTTTTCGGGTTTTTGATGCCAAAGAATCTCGGAGAAGATGATTTGAAAGCCAGTACTACCACATTAATGAAGAAATATTCCAAACTCATCATTGATTTAAAATATGAACTGATCAGTTTTACTGACATGTATTTCTTAAAAATTGTGATTAGTAGAGATGGACTTAGATTAGATTACTCTTCATAAATAGTTAAGGGTGTGGGAAGTTTCACGGAAATGCGAAGATTAGCTGACTATAGGAAAGAGTGGAGGCACGTGTCCAACAAGTCTTAACACTGACGACCCTATAACGATGATGCAACCTATTGATTCAGCTAGTGTTGTCGAATGTGTTATGAATTCTTTGAAAATTGTTAAAGGATATTCATGAGTTTCTTTAGCTGAAAACACATTAAAACACATCCTAGTTGTGTCTAGAAAACTGCAGTAGGTACCAAAAAGTAAATAACTGTATCTTAAAGGCGAAGATAGACTGAGCATAATGGGAATGAACACCCTGTATATTCTCCTTTTCTGATTATAGTGCTCATGATATCAAAAATATATGCATTGCAAGGACTCATAATCGCTAAAGTCATTACGTTTTTAATCTTATTCATGTTTTCATGTTTATATTGTATCATAAATAACGCGTTTTAATAATACTATTTTTATTTTTTACTAATAGGAATTACCCAGTCTAAAAGATAAGTTAAATTTTTCTGTGTTTTGAAGTTCCACTTCAGAAAAATTTTGGGCAATCTTGTCCAAATGTAAACCCGAGTAAAATTATTCTTCACTCTACCGAATTACGACTAAACTAGCTCCATAAATTTCTCTAAAATATTACCGGAAAAGGTCCGTTTGCAGGACTAAAACGCCGATTGTGTACGAATGGAGTACTGCAACAGTACCGCATTTAGTACGAAAAGAACACGGATACAGCACCGATTGCTTTCCAGAAAGCTACTGAAATACCTACCACCAAAAAACTCTAAACTTTTGGGTGTTTCATTCCCACCAGCCAGTAATGCTGGTGGGCGGGCAGTCCCTCCGGACTATGCCGGAAGGTAGGGCGGAAGGCCCTCTTCAGCCTGCTTTCAGGAATCGTGGGAATGGGTGGGTGGTGGTTCGGGTGAGAAAGATGAGACGGACGAAATGAAGACAGAAGAGAATGAAAGATTACCTGTGGAATATTACTGCCCCAGCATTTGCCTAGGTGATCCAAGGAAACCACAGAAAAACTTGGACTAAGGCAGACGAACCCGGAATCGAACCGGCGTCCTCCCGAATGCTAAGCAATGGTCTAGACCTCTAGGCCATGCCGCTCGGTGAAAATACCATCGAAAGTGCGACGTATTTATACTAAAAAAGCGCAGAAATAGCACTAAAGGAATACAGTGGACCCCCGGTAATCCGACAAACAGTTTGCAGGGCAGTGTCGGATTAGCAAATTTGTCGGATTATAGAGTAGTGCCTAAGACCTCCTTATAGTCCGGATTTTTTTTACATTTTTCTTTAATTGTCAGTGTTTTGTGCTTTCGCTTCTGAGCTTGTGACGACATTGCTAGCTACGAATACGTATTACACAATGAATAAACACTAAATAATGAACATGATCATCACATGTAGTCAAATTCAAACTAAGCAATCAGAATCAAAACAATACTCTACGCGTATTAGCGAAGATTGTCAAAAAAATATTCAATACATAATAATGCCATGCCGGATTACAGGCGGTGCCGGATTAGCCAGGGGCCGGATTATCAGGTGTCCACTGTACTAAAAAAATTATTTTTGTATGTGATGCTGTTTTAGTGCTATTATAGTATGTTTCTTGGCGAGGCGCTGTTTGAGGGCTCTTTCGGATCTTTTTTAATATGGTGCTAGTTTGGAGCTGTTTTAGAGTTTCAAAGGGTAGTGTTTTGACTATAATTTTAGAATTTAAATTTTCGTCTAATTTGTAACAACTATTTCACTGGTAATTTAGATCATTTTTAGATATTTGGAGGCGATTCGGTGGTGTTATAATTCTAACCTAAAGTAAATAATTTTGTTGCATTGCTGCTAAAGGAATCGCTCCTATGATATGCGATAACGTCATGAGCAAACTATAATAATCGACAACCGCACATATCGTCAGTAATTATCAATTAATCAATCATTTTCCTTTATTTGCTGCTCGTATTTGATACCTACGTAAAAAGATGTCCATTCTAACCTTCATTAAAATATATGTGTGCGATTTAATCTGTAAGTATAAGATAGTCCGAAAATGTGAAGGTAATTTGAATTATTGCATGTGTTTACACCTATGACGTTAGTTGATCGGATAGGAAAATTTTATGCACGTTGAACAACGCTTTTGAATCGAAAGTTACAAGAAGCCGTCGCATATTAGACACTTTAAAATATTGAAGAGTACGACGATTAATATAAAACGGCTTCATATGCCTTCAAGCAAATTAAACTTTTATGGTAACTACTTAACTCGTTTTAGGCTTTGTTTACATAATATGTATATCGTATATTAACAAAGGTATTCCAAAGTAATTATCTTAAAAGATACACTAATGAACTGTGATTAACTATACGTATACGTTTTAATAATACAATTAGGCACCGTAAAAATGACATTTATATTTATTAACTGGAATGAAGCATATCTATTAGACCGAATATCGTTAATGTATGAGGTCTGTTCAACAAGTATTGCGAATTTTGTATTTTTTTAAAAATTATATTATTTATTTGTACATGAATATATATTTTGTTCCCTTCAAAGTATTTCCCGCCAGACATTATACACTTGTGTCAACGTTTTTTCCAATCCTCGAAGCACTTCAAAAAATCATTTTTTGTGATCTTGTTCAGCTCCTCCGTCGATGCCGCCTTTATCTCTTCAATCATAGAATAGCCTCGTCTTTTCATAGGCATCTTCAGTTTCGGGAACAAGAAAAAGTCACAAGGGGGTAAATCTGGGGAATACGGTGACTGCAGTATTATTAGTGTGTTGTTTTTGGCCAAAAAATCGCGGACAAGTAACGATGTTAAGCAGGGGCGTTACCATGGTGCAAAAACCAATTTTTGTTCTCCCACAAATCCGGGCGTTTCTGGCGGATTACTTCGCGCAAATTACGCATAACTTGCAGGTAATATTCCTTATTGATCGTTCTACTCTGTGGCAAGAACTTATGATGTACTACGCCCCTGCAATCGATGAAAACTGTAAGCGAAACCATCATATTCTACCTGAGTAAAACCCCATTAAAAATATGCGGCGCTCTCACCCCCATAAAAAGGTATGGGGGTTGAAAGTTGATTATTTTGATAATTTTCATACACTATAGTTCAAATAAAATTCAATAAGAAAATTATTTTCAAGCGGGTGGAGGTGGGGGATCGAAAGAGGGTGGTCACTCGAACAAAACCCGANGGGGGTGAGGGTAAAGGGGATCGAAAGAGTAAAACCCATTAAAAATTTGCGGCGGTCTCACCCCTATAAAGGTCATGGGGGTTGAAAGTTGATTATTTTGACAATTATCATACACTATAATTCAAATAAAATTCAATAAAAAAAATATTTTCAAGCGGGTGGAGATGGGGGATCGAAAGAGGGTGGGCACTTGAACAAAACCCGATAACCTAACCTAACCTAACCTAACCTACCTTATTGATAAAGATATTTAAATAATGTTTTATATAACTTTCTCAATATTTTTATGTATTTTTTCATTAGTTTTACCTTTGAATATTGTTTAAGAATGACTATATAAATATTTACATGCCTAGAAATGTATAAAATTTGCATGTTTATTAACTTTTTATGGGGGTGTGACCGTCACGAACTTTTTATGGTACAGTGGTGGGGGAAACCTCCTTTTTCGATCCTCCTCATCCCCATCCCCGAAGGGGGTGAGGGCCATCATCTAGACCTTTACCAAGTCTTTATCTCTACATTCTATTGTTTGAAAAGGCTGATGGTTTCGAATGAAGAGGTCATTGTTTATTGGTTGGGTAGACCCATAGGTAATACATAATCAGGCTGTAAACAGATAATCTAAGAAGAAGAAGTATACAGTCAGTCTGTGTTGGTTTCGCCCATGAGCGAACGAAGTGTGTGTATCGAGAATGATACAGAAATAACAATTATAAATAGCATGCTTTCAATCCTGGTGCACTGTTGTCCGGCCAAAATAGCCAGGGTTCCTTCGAGTGGGGTTACTCGCAATTGGGGGTGTTGCGGGCTACTCCAATGACATGATTCTGGTGGCGAGGGTACCTTCATGTAAGTGCCCCACACCCGGTTATTGAGATGCTAGAATAGAAATACGTATATACAAAACTGGTAATATATTGGATACTTGTACAATCTTTATGGTCTAACTGAGCTAGGGGGAAAGATAACACCCCGATGAGTACATTAATGCTTATTTGTCAGTAACTGTTAGTTTATTTTGGGTCTACCGGACTATCTGTTTGACCATCCTAAGAGCAGTCAGGATCTGTTGGGGAAAAGAATCCGTGTTATTAGGTGAGACGAATTACACCTGATCTCTATTATTTATTGTTTTCTTATGTATTATGTATTTACAACGCTCTGTAAAATTCATCTAGTTAACATTCCATAATGGGCCGAAAATTGACATGCGCGGTTTTATATTCAGTATTTATGTCGGTTTTTGTAAATAACATAATTGTGTTGGAATATATCTCAAACCGCACCCAAAAACTGATGCAACCAATGAAGTCTGCATATATTCTTACATAGTTCTTGTCCCTTGGAGGCTTAGTGCCACAGCCAGTGGAAAATTAACGTGCGCATTTTCACGTCCGGTTTCTAGGGGTGGTTTTTGTATATAACATGGTTATATTTCTTTATCTCAAACCGCACCCAAGAGCTCTTGTCACCATTGGAATCTGCATATATTCTTTCATAGTTTTTCGTACCTCGGAACGATTAGAATAATTGTGTAGGTAATCTACTTTAAAGGCAAAAGATGAAATTGTTGGTAAACATTCTATTAAAAAAGTCAATCGTGGATCGTATTTTGAAACATTCAGAAAATATTTATTTGCTATTTATACATATATGATATAATTGTGTTTAACATTCAACTCCTGAATTTGGTGGGACTCCAGTACAGGTGAAGTTGTTCAATATGCTGCCTGTAACACTAACGTTGGTCCATTTCCAGTCTGAGGCTACACCGTCTGCAAGAAGCACGAAGACGTTGACTGCATATTCTCGTACCCAACCGTGAATATTATTAAGAGTAAAGTTTCTAATAATGACTCCCGCTGTAGGATGTCCGGTGGGTCCGGTATTCAGATAGTCGCCTCGTACCAATATACCAAAATTGGTAATATTTCTCATAGTTATATCTTCGTACTTAATGTCAAGTACATGGCCTGTTGCGTTTACGGCGGTTTTAATCCGAATTCCGTTTTCCGAATTTACCACAGTGCAATTTTTAACGTGAACATTTTCGACCACCGTACCGATGGATATTCCATGACCACCGGAACAGTAGTTGTGAAAAAAATTACAATTTGTTCCTGAACCGATCCCGAGACAATCGTCTTGATTAACGATGCTACTGTTTTGAATCGTTATATCGTTAGAATTGTTCAAATCAAATCCGTCAGTGTTATGCCCACCCCTTGTATCCCCGTCCAAATTATCTATTATGATGTTCGAAAACACGACATGATTGCAGTGGGTAACGGAAAAAACATGTTTCGGGGTATTTCTTACGTTCAACCCTGTGACAGTGGAATAGTTTAAGTTGGTAGCCTTGAAAAATTTCGGCTTTAATTTGCCACCATTTCCACCGAAGCTGTCCCACCACCTTTCACCATGGCAATCGAAAAGGTGTCCAGGTTCTCCAATAACAGTAACGTTTGAGCCTGATACTACAATAAAATCTCCATTCCATTCTTCGTATTCGAATCTTATGATTCCTCTGAAAATTATTCTAGTACCACTCTGAAGTCTTGTTAATAATAAAGTTCCATTTGCAGGCACTGTCAAGTTTTCTATTACAATCTCAGTGCATTGTCGCTGAATAGAGTTAAGATTGTCCAACGAATTGCCCGTCAGTTTGCAGTTATTATTTTGTGTGGAAACTGTCGCAACTACAATTGCTAATCCAACCAACACTTTTAAATACAACTTCATAATGGTAATGAAAGTCTTGCGTAGTTAGTTAAATTGATTGCTGTTTTTTTAATTTGGGCGGTGGCGATGTTCAGTGTAAGTGCTAAAAGGTAAAAAGCTTGTTATTTTTATCAGACATTCAGTACAGTAGTAACAAAAAAATAATGCTTTTAACTATTAAATGGTTAAAAAAACTAGAACTCTACATATGTTTATGGTAGTTAAGTCTTCATCTAGTCCCAGGTAGAAAGTGATCAATGNGATGGATATTCCATGACCACCGGAACAGTAGTTGTGAAAAAAATTACAATTTGTTCCTGAACCGATCCCGAGACAATCGTCTTGATTAACGATGCTACTGTTTTGAATCGTTATATCGTTAGAATTGTTCAAATCAAATCCGTCAGTGTTATGCCCACCCCTTGTATCCCCGTCCAAATTATCTATTATGATGTTCGAAAACACGACATGATTGCAGTGGGTAACGGAAAAAACATGTTTCGGGGTATTTCTTACGTTCAACCCTGTGACAGTGGAATAGTTTAAGTTGGTAGCCTTGAAAAATTTCGGCTTTAATTTGCCACCATTTCCACCGAAGCTGTCCCACCACCTTTCACCATGGCAATCGAAAAGGTGTCCAGGTTCTCCAATAACAGTAACGTTTGAGCCTGATACTACAATAAAATCTCCATTCCATTCTTCGTATTCGAATCTTATGATTCCTCTGAAAATTATTCTAGTACCACTCTGAAGTCTTGTTAATAATAAAGTTCCATTTGCAGGCACTGTCAAGTTTTCTATTACAATCTCAGTGCATTGTCGCTGAATAGAGTTAAGATTGTCCAACGAATTGCCCGTCAGTTTGCAGTTATTATTTTGTGTGGAAACTGTCGCAACTACAATTGCTAATCCAACCAACACTTTTAAATACAACTTCATGATGGTAATGAAAATCTTGCGTAGTGAGTTAAACTGATTGCTGTATTTTTGATTTGGGTGGTGGCGATGTTCAGTGTAAGTGCTATAAAACGTAAAATGTTTGTTATTTCTATCAGACATTCAGTATAGTATAAACAAAAGAAAATGCTTTTAACTATTAAATGGTTAAAAAAGTAGAACTCTACATATGTTTATGGTAGTTAAGTCTTCATCTAGTCCCAGGTAAAAAGTGATCAATGAAATTAGCTTGCATTAAGGTAATTTTGTAAGTGTTAGCTTCAAACTAGCTAACTGACTAAGCATGGTACAAGGTTAGTTGGTAACGCTTTAGAACGCTAACAGTAAGCTTACGATTGTAGCTTATATAAACAATGACAATTTAGCTTTTAGCTAACTATAAGATAACAAATAAATCTTATTTTAAGAATGTACAGATTAGGTATGTTAAGTAAAAAAAAGCGCTCGGTGAGAAAAAGAATTTATTTAATATTTTAAAAAGGTATTTTTGGCTACAGCAGTTTTGTTTTACAATTTTCGGTTCTACAGGTTTATAAATTATTTTTTTTTT